AGATGGTCGCGCAATTTCGTGGATTGGTTGATGTTAGATACTAACACCATTGGATACCGGCTCAGGGTCCCAGTAGGTTAAGCGTTCGCGCGCGAGACTGAAGGCCCTGGGTTCGAATCCCGCAAGCAGGATCGTGAATGCGCACTGCTGAGGGGTCACACAATATGGTGAAACGGCTGTCTAGTGCTTTCAGGTTTCCAGCGGTTGTCTAACATCAATCGGTGCATGATCTCAATCAAAATTATTTTGTATTTTTTGTTACTGACCTCATTCTAGTTGATGTTTCACATAAACGCATAGCTGATAAGAATAACTATTAGCTTTGTAATATAAATAAGCCGCCTCTGTAAGATAAAAAATGTGCGTTTTCCAGGTATATTGGCGATACGAAGATTAACTGGAAACCTATTAATTAATTGCAACATTTCTAATTTATCGTCCTATGGAAAACCAGAATTTTTTTTAACTGTATATAATTTAACCTAATCATGCAGTGGCAATTTTAAGACTCTCCCAGTCTCCCACATTGTACGAGCAATCAATGTACTTAAACAAATGGTTGCTCTGGTCGTCAGAAGGGGGATCAAACCTGTGACTTCTGAAGAAACTCGGATTTCACAATGAGGTGTCATAACTCTTCTAAATGAAGACCTAACTCTCAGGGTAGTGTTTAAATGGTTTGCATAGTTTTTTCTGGTTAGCGTTTTTTAGCGAGTTAGTTTTTTACGGTATGGGGTCGTTAATCTGATGCTCATTTCTCCTCCTTTATCTGGGCTTGGGACCGGCAGTAGCCTCAGAGGGGCTCTAGGCGGAGTTCTGACCTGATCATACCGTGATGCGTGCTACTTATAATGACATAAGTAGTATATAACACGAGTTAGGAAAGTAATGCCTGGCAGCGGAAGATTGGGAAGATCAAGAAAGAAAGGAGGGAAATAGAAAGCAATTAGCATAGAAATGCAAGAACAATGAAGTCCGAAACAATTATTGAACATTTTGACAATTAGGTATTATTAGTATGGTTTTTCTATTTTACCAAGTAACTCTGTAATGTAGTGCTAAATATAATTCGGTTGTCCTCATCTGAGTTCTCCTTCACTACAATACTACTCGTAATATACACAAATCTATGTTTAATTAATTTTAAGCTATGAATAATGTGATAAAACCAATGTTATCATTTACTACTTACGAATAAAGAATTTTTTTTGTATGTTCAGTAGATTTTAGTCGCATAAAAATCAACATGACATCTCAATTATAGTCAAAAAGTTGAATCTTTGATGTCTAAAACTGAAATTGATCAGTCTCTTATTGGCATATATGCATACTGTGCGTATTACGTCTATATTACCTTTAGTAACAAGCATTATAAGCAATTATAAGGTGATATCAAGGCAATACGCATAGAATGCACATATACCAATAAGAGGTTGATCAATTGCAATGCTAAGTATCAATGGAAACATCCAAGTAAATAATACCAAGTGAATTTCAACTTCACTTCCATTGCACAAGCAAGTGACTATCAGGATTCAGTAGCTAAGTGGATAGCGTGATGGCGTTTGAAGCAAACGGTACTGGGTTCGAGTCTCAGAGTGAACATCAACTCTGAGATTTAGTTACATCCAGCTGAGAAGTCTCGAATAGGATGAAACGCGCATCCTGGATTCCACTGCTATCCATCTTATGAAGATAAACCAAATGACTTGAGAAACAAATATTCGTCACTTTAATTAATTTCTCACTGTGATTCTACACAAATTTGAATCTATTTTTTTTTACAATTATTAATAAAATTAATATTAGTCGAGTGGTAGTGATTTAGTTAAGTGACTACGCTCATGAAATCTATAAGGAATGATTCCATGATGAAAGCGAACAGGGTAACTTTCATATTTTATTTCCTTACGTTCTCATTAGCTTTACAACCTAAAGTATTTGAAAATTAGAGTTATTACAGTTACTGACATACTTATACATCAGAGGGTGATTAAGGATGAATATATGTATCATGATGTAGCGAAGATTCCGATAGAGTTAATGAGGTCGTAAAATTTTGTTTCCAATAAATAAAGTTTTGGAGGGAAGGTTCGAGAACATTGAAATAGTGATTCGAACTCATGGATTTAAAAAAAACACATTAGATGATTATGTAATCAGGTAACTGAAAATAGATTAATGGTAATAAAGAAAGATATGAATTGAAATCAGTTAGTTATGAATGATGCAATTTAAACTTAAGAAAGAGTTGGAATAATGAATGACGTAAGAAATAAATAAATAAAGGGGGGGTAATTTTACCAGAGCAAAGAAAGATTTATTACTGTTTCTTTTTGTATACATAGATCTGGTTTTAGACGTTTGATCGCTATCGCTTCGGAAAATTTCAAAAGGTTTGAGTTTGATTGTTTTTTAATCACCTTGAAGGACTTCAGTGTATCGACTTCGTGTCCTGTGCCAAGGAGATGTCTTGTGATGACACTGCTGAATGCTTTTAGTCTGTTTGATCTCAAACCCTTCGGAATATGTTATTTAAATCAGATGTAGGCACCAATCTTTGTTCTTGCTTTCTTTAAAATAATAAAGCGCACTGAGTGTATGGAAATATTAAATGTTTATAATGATGTTGATAATAGTGAAAACTATTGTACAATTTACTTTATATTCAACATGGAAATTAAAGTGAATATAAACCATGTAATAAATTAGAATAATGTTAGATCATTACAAAATCTTTATTCAAATCGACTTGATGCCCCTGAGTATATCAAGTGAACAGGACATTAAGTTATGTATAGTTTTTTATTATCCTTTAGCTATTCATGAAGTATGGTATTAATAAACATAATTATGAGCTTAGCTAGGTTATTTGATAACTCAGATAAAATATGTATTAGTAAGTAAGCTGCAAATATTGAACTGAATAAAATAGTCTATCTTATAGGTTTCTAAGAGATAGTGAACTATACTACTGATAAAAGTAGTTTTCAAATATACAGTATTATCTTTGAGTTTCAAGGAAGAATAACAAATTTATTTGGTTAAAGTGTCATTTACGAGTAAAAGCTTCTATTGTGTGATTTTATAAAGATATTAATTTTATTTGTTAATAGTGCTTTTGATATCTTGATTCTTTGATAACTTTCAATGAGACAAATCAGAAAAATAACAAAAGAAATGAAGATTTCAACTAAGATACTTTCTATGAAAAGTTTTGAAATATAATGAATTCATATTATTCTGCTAAATTCCTACTCTTATAGATATCAAGGCTTATAAGAACAAGATTTTTCCAGGATGAAATCTCTTATTATTGGCACCAATTTTCGACGGAAAACATTTCGCAGTTAACAAATCACCGAATATTTAATCTTTTTATTGAAAAAAAATTGCTAAACTTGTGAACAACCAAAGAAAGAAACAATAAAACTGACAGTTGAAACATGATTTTTAATGATAAAAAGAAACGGAATTAGCAAAGATAAACAGATATGTTTTTATATTCAATATAGAAAAGCTTTAGAAAAAAGGAGGAGGGAGAGGAAGGGGATTAATTGACTGGAAAAAAAACAACACATCTTGAAAGATGTTAAGTCACTTAGTAGTTTGTTTTCTTTTTCTTTTAAATTATTATGACAAATTACTTGAAAATGAAAAAAAATAGAAAAAAAGAAAAGAAAAAGGGTAATCATTAGTTGAATGGAATTAGTTATTCATGGAAGTATTATTTAATTTTATATTCTATTCGAAATTACTTTTGCAGTTTTAATCTGATTATTTATAAATTAGTAGGTTCGTTCATATTTATAAATAGTAATAATAATGGGAGTAGTTAATCTCCGCTCTTGTTCTCTTTTTTTCTCTCAACACGATCTACGATGTAAAGTTTCCACTCCTTATAATCTTAAAATAATGTAGTTAAATATTATACCACCACCATTTCCCGTTTTCTTTTTCAATTCCAACCAACAACAAAAAACATGAAAAACTACAAATGGTTAATCTTTTTTTAAATTTTTACTTGATATAAACGACCAAATGTTTTATAAATATCACCATTTTTGTTGAAATATGTATTAGGAAAATTATTTTTATTTTCTCTTCGTACATTTACATATATAAATATGTACATGAATAGAAAACATTCAAATTTGTATAACCGTGTATGCAAACTAAGTTTCTATTTCCTTCATATGTTCATATGCCTATATATGTATATCTGTAATGAGGATTCTGGCTGGATTAAAATCTATTAATCTCAACTACATTACAAAACAATGTGACAAAAGGCATATATTATATGAAATGAAAATAAGTAGTTAATAAAATTTACAAAAAGTTTTGTCGTCCTTAATCAATTACTTTAGTCAAAGGATTTAAGTAATAGACAAAACTTACAAGGTAATATATGTTCATTTGTATGATTTGGTTTATGTTAAAAAGGGAATTAGTAGTAGATTTACATGATTCTATTTTTACAGCATTTTTTTGGTGCTTTTTTGTTGTTGAAAATCTTTCTTCTCACAGTGTGTTAAAAAAAGATTATAATATTGACGGAATTAACGATATATGACATGTTTCATGACAAGTCGTTTCACACCTAAGATTGACATATATACCATATACATTTATCTATAATTATGTGTATCCTACATTCTTAACTTCAACGGTTCATTTGGATGAGTTTTCTTACATAACTTATGTCTGCATTTGTTTTAAAAGAAATTTCATAGTAAAAAACGAAATTTTTGTGATTATCCTTTTTGAATTTTGTTGAATGTTAAGCCATTTATGAACTTGAATAACTCTTATAGTGTATACCACACTAAAAAATAGTGTAAACTATTTCTATTAGATAATGAAAATGATATTTAAGAGGGTTAATGTAGTCAACAGATATTTAACCTTATTTATAATATAAGAAATATGTAGTATTGAATGAATAATCTTTCAAATACATTGTAGTTCAAGCGATTCTTGTTTATATTTTCTTCCAGCGTTTCTATCATGGTCTAGCTTCATTTAATTCATGATATCAACTATTGAAATTACTACAATCTCCACAAAACTCCTTCTGATACTAATCAGTATATGCTCACTAGTGACTGGCTTCAAGAGGTATATGCTGGAGTTCTAGTGAAAAATAATGACCAGTGGAGTTCAACCGGGTCAGTTGTGCGATAGTAACTCAGTGATGACAGTGGTGGATGTTTCACTTAATTTTGTGGATTAGTTGACGTTAGACATTAACACCGTTTGATGTCGGCTCAGTGGTCTAGATGTTAAGCGCTCGCGCACGAGACTGGTCGGTCCTGGGTTCGAATCCCGCGAAGCGGGATCGTGGACGCGCACTGCAGAAAAGTCCCATACTAGGATAAAACGTCCATCTAGTACTTCTATATTTTCAATCGTGGTCCAGCCTAAAATCAACTCATGAATTTAACTATTATCATATATTCACCTATAAAATAAATATTGCATTGTAAAGAGGTTAATTAAGAATCATATTTTTGGATAAACTTTCTTCAACCTGTTTCAAAACCTTCCCAATTATTTCTATCTGTAATTTATAATTTGTAAATTCAATCATAACACATTAAGAACTTTCATTTGTATAGTGTTTTAAATTAAATATCAGTTTACACAGAAATGTTATCATAAACTTTTGTATCAACTAATCACTTCCACTGTAAACATATATGCAGGATTTTCATGAATAACAAAACATTAATCATATTGGTTAGATAAATGTATTTAGGAAGTATATGTTAAGTGAACATTAAAACTGTAAAGTTGACTTTGTATTGTTTTTATCTAAAATTTACATCTATCTTATGCTTTACAACTGATTTTACACAAAATTCATAAAATAAACGTTTTTATTCAATAAAGATATATTTAATTATTATCAAAATTAACAAACCATGTTTGTCAAATATTATGAAATTATCTAGATATCGAAAAAATATATATCTGAAATCTTTCTCTGAAGAAGTGGCCTACATTAGGTTACGAGACGTCAGAAATACAATTTTTCTACTTATTTCCATATAACAAAAAAATTTTTTTAATTCGTTTAAAGATCCCCATCATATTAAAAGACTAATAATTGAACGAAGGATATTCTTTTCAATAAATTCTTTTCCGGTTCTACAATTATATATCCAAATTAATAATCCGAATAATAGTCAGGTTAAGGGCAAAGTATATTGTTTAAAGCATGTGAATTTAGGGTCGTTAAACAGAATCGAATAAAGTTGTTAGTATTGATATGACTCAGATAGAATGTTAGCTTGAGTCAGCTTATATGTTAAGTGAAAATTTATGATCCATGATCAGAATAAATATGGGTCAAATAAGGTGAGAGAAATAATTACAATTCGTTCAAATGTTTAGTCGAAGGCTATATTGTGTAACAAATTAGTAAGACGTAATAAGGAGGGATAAATGAACCATGTATAGGGGAGATTAATAATGATATTTAACCAATAGTAACAATAATAATAATAATACAAAGATTTGTGAATAGAGATAACAGAGACAATTACAATTGACTACGAAAGGTCGTAGTCAAATTAGGTCATTCAGTAGCTAAGATTACTATTGATTAATTGACTTTGATGTTGACCAGGGGAGGAGGAGTGGCTGAAGATATTTCTTCTTCATCCAGATTGCTACTGCTTCAGTCATTCAAAGGACTTTAATTCTGACAAGTTTTGGTAAAAAATTACTAACCTTATAAATAACTGAAAAAAATTGGTTTATACTGGCATTATGACCAGTTCGTACTAAATGGGCTAATATCGAGCTGTTCACTTTCTTTATAAAACCTTTTTTTAGCCACACAGGGTGTTCACGAGCACGGAAATGTAAATTCCTAGAACTTTGACCAATCTAACTCGCTCCACAGGAGAAATCGAACTGATAAATACAAAATGAGGTGGTCATTCTAGGTAATTCATCTTTTAGCTTCGGTGTCACCATTGGGCGTGTAGAAAACACTACTAGCAGTTCTCTGGCGTTAAAATATTTTTGTATTGTCCTGTGTGATCTCTGAGTTAATATTTCACTAGCTGCATCCTTTCTGAATTGCAGACACATAAGCAGAGATTTCTTCGTCACCGTTTGCATTTCGCCTATTTTCACCTTTGTGATCATATATTTAATTATAAACTTTCTAGGGTAACCGTTCTCCTTGAGAGTATTATGTAAGGCGTTAAGCTCATCTTCAACTATATCAGCAAAACATATAGTGTGTATACGGTAACTAAGGGTTTGATCAAGTTTTGTTTGTACTGTTATTCATATTTTCAGTTATCTCAGTTCAAATTTCAGTATTTACACAGAACTGTTCTCTATTCTACACTTTTAAAAATATAAGCAAAATAATTAAACAAATTAGAATCAAATCAGAAATTGAAGCACTTCGAAATGTATAACTTTCCAAACAGAACTATATGATTATTGATTTATATTAACTTAATTAATGATCGTCTTCACAGTGATAAGTTCTAAAGCTAAACTATACTATCAAACATTAAAATATTAAAAGAAAAATTTACAAAAAAGGGAATTTTCCATTACTATTATTTAATTTAAAGTAATACATTAGAAAGATTTAAATATTTCACTTAATGTTAAACACAGTCAATATTACAAAATTGATTTATTAAAACAAGTTGCTATGGCAACTGTACAGGTAACTAAGATATTAATATTTTTTGATAAAAGGTGTATATTGTCATTTCAAGGTTATTTGCTTTTATAATGAAACAAAAAACATTTAATTTAAACTTTTTAGTATTTTCATTTATAACCGCTTGAATAACAACATGAACATAGTGAAATGATTTTAATTCATTGTTGGTAATCAACTAATTTCGTTGAATGAATTTGAAAAATGAGAGAAACAGAAATCGAGTCAATAATAATAAAATATAGATATATCTAGTTAATTAATTTTGATTTATTAGAGGTGAAATGATAAAAAAATACGAATTTAATATACATTATAATTAGATTCTTTTTTTTATTAGATATTATATATTGTTGTTATGTTAAAGATGATTATAAAGTAAATAATCTATATTTATTAGAAAGGGGTTTTGTGGAGATTGTAGTAATTTCAATAGTTGAGATTATGAGTCAATTGAAGATAGATCACAATGGAAAGCCTTGTTGTATTGAATGGCCATTTCGTTCTATTATGGGACTCCTAATCGGTGCGGATCCGCGACCCCGCTTGGTGGGATTTGACAATGGATGAATGGATTACGCAATATTGTGGATTGGTTGAAGTTAGACATTAACACCATTGCATGCCAGCTTAATAATTTGAGGTTAAATGTTCACGTGGAAAATTGAAGATCCTAGAGCAGAATCGTGGGTACGCAGTGCTGAGGAGACCCACAACAGAACGAAATAGTCGTTCAGTGCTTCCAGGTTTTTCATTGTGATCTAGCTTCAACTAACTCATGAACTCAACCATTGAAATTTATATTTAATCAATTTTAGTCGTCAAGTTATCATTTTGAATTGAATATGTACAACTAATTTGTCAATAGTTAATTATTATTTTTATAGAATTTATTTGTTTATTTTATTTATTTATTTTTAAAGACCCATAAATCTTACAACAAAATTTTTAGTTTTATTAAATAAAAATTTATGTTTAGGTTATACTAATTAAAAATTAAATGAATGTAATTTACTTCTTGTGTCATTATGTATTATTGATAGTTTTAACGATGAAATATCAAACGACTATACTTTAGAATTGGTATGTTTGGATAAAAAAAGTAAAATTACATTTTTTTACTCGTGGTTTTTTTGTTCGGCTATCGACCATGTTGCAGTGTAGCCACCAGTCTAGGTGACTCGACACTGCGTGCACTATTGTGAGATTGTACGGTGGCTGGAGGTAGTCAACAGGAAATTCTGGACCCGGGTTTCGTGCTACTTGGTACTCATCAGCAAGGTGTACCTGTAATATTGAGGGAACTGGTGCTCTCTGATGGATTCGATCCCGTGTCACCCACCATCTAATCCCACAATAGTGCACACAGTGTCGAGTCACCTAGACTGGTGGCTACATTGCGTCATGGTCGATAGCATTCGACCTGCACTAATAAGGACTTGACACACATGCCATTGGTCACCACCCAGTGATCAATCAATTGTGATTACATCTCAGTCCTACAGGTGGTAACGTCTCTAACTGTGAGGCTGGGTGATATGGGATCGAATCCGCCAAGGAGCACCGGTTCCCTCAACATTACAGGTACATCTTGCTGACGAGTACAAAGTAGCACGAAACCCGGGTCCAGGGTTTTCTGTTGACTACCTCCAACCACCATTTAATGTATGATTTCTTTCTAATTATGAGTCGAAATGGATGTATAAATCAATATATATAAGTGAATGTAATTTTGGACTAGGTTCGTTATCGTGTTTTTGGGATTAATTAATCCGAGTCATGAGGATTGTAATGGTTCCTCGTTTGACATAACAATTAGCGACCATCAGATATAATAATTGCTGATGCAAGCATAGGCTGTCTACCAGCACTCTTCATCCAAGCTTGTCCTGGACAATCCTTTCTAGCTCTTTCCAGAAAATGTGGAAGCTGTAGTTAGTTATATATACACAAGTTGATAAGAGTATAGAGGTGTATGCTTGTTTTAAATATTGTTTTCAAATTATTAATTTAGATTTACAGTGTAATAGAGTTACGTAGGCAATAATTCTCAAATCGGTGTAATTTTCAAGAGTAATCTAATTTTTTATCATTCAAATTATTTCTCATTCATAAGTTCAGTATATAGCTAAAATATAAAAGATAGTAACAAAGCATATGATGGTAAATTAAGTCGTGTTTAACCTTGATAACACTCAGTAGCAAATTTGGGCATTTACTTTTTTACTTCAATATAAATATGATTTACAAATTAATATTTCATTGATCTCGAAATATAATTGATCTTTTTTATAGCTAGTCAAGTGTAAAAGATAAAAAGCACTTGATAATAAATTATTTACTTACGCCTGTTATTCCCAACGGGGTATAGGCCGCCAACCAGCATTCTCCAACCCAATCTGTCCTGGGCCTTCTTTTCTAGTTCTAGACAATTGTCTTTATTTATCGGCGTAATGTATTCTTTGATCTTCCACCTCTCCTTTGGCCTCGAGGATTCCACGTGAGGGCTTGACTTGTGACACAGTTGGGTGCTTTACTCAATGTGTGTCTTATCCACTTCCAGCGCTTCTTCCTGATTTCTTCCTCCATTGGAATTTGGTTTGTTCTCTCTCACAATAGGTTGTTGCTGATAATGTCTGGCCAACGGATCCTCAGCACTTTGCTTAGGTAACTGTTAATAAACATTTATATTTTGTGGAGGATGACTTTCATAGTTCTCTAAGTTCCCATCCCATACCGTAGAACTGTCTTCAGGCGGAGATTTGATAATAATTAGTTTACAATAATTTATCATTTTAAGAATAAAAAACACTTATTTGAAAAAGATAATTTTGAAAGTTATCCTTACGTTATCATGAAAGAAATTAGAAAAAAACTGTGGAATTAATTAGTGATTTACAAATTTGTTGCTGAAGGTACTTCTTTTTGAGTTTAAACAAATTCTTAGTTGATTAAATACCAATACATTTACAATTCTCTAATGCATTATATTGGTCATTTATGAATGAAAATCATCATCGACTATAGACGTATATCTTTTGAATTACAATACGATTTACCTAACGAATAAGAATTACATCAGTTATTGATGTAGTTTTTCTA